TGCTTTTTGTCAAAGATAAGTTTGTCATAGTTATATGGTTTCATTTTCGGGTTCTCTATTCTGTTCCATTAGTCTACATCTCTGCTTTTATACCAGTATCCTGCTGTTCTGGTTAAAATAGACTTGTAATATAATTTCAAGTCAGGTAATGTGACACCTCCAGATTTGTTCTTTTTGCTTAAGATTGCTTTGGTTATTTGGGCTCTTTTTTGGTTCCAAATGAAGCTTAGGATTATTTTTTTCTAGATCTGTGAAATAAGATGTTGACATTTTGATGGAAACTGCATTCTGTTTTGGGCAGAAAAGACATTTTAATAATGTTGATTCTACCAGTCCATGAGCATGAAATGTTTTTCCATTTGTTTGTGTCATCTATAATTTCTTTCATCAGTGTTTTGTAGCTCTTCTTGTAGAGGTCTTTTATCTCCTTCATTAAACATATTCCTAAATATTTTATTTTCTTTGTAGTTATTTATTGTAAATGGTATTGAGTCCTTGATTTGACTTTCAGCTTGACTGTTATTAGTTCACAGAAAGGCTAATGATTTGTGTACTTTGATTTTTGTAACCTGAGACCTTGCTGAATTTATTTATCAATTTTAGAAGTCTTTTTGGGGAAAAGGGATAGTCTGACCTTCTCTTTTGCAATTAGGATGACCTTTATTTCTTTCTTCTGATTGTTCTGGCTAGGACTTCCAGTACTATGCTGACTAGAAATGAAGATAGTGGGCAACCTTGCCTCATTCCAGTTCTTAGGGGAAATGCTTTCAACTTGTCCCCATTCAGTATGATGTTGGCTGTGGGTTTATTATATATGGCCTTTATAATTTTGAGGTATATTCCTTCTACAGACCATTATCCCTCATAAACACTAACACAAAAATCCTCAACAAGATATTAGCAAACCAAATTCAACAGCACATCAAAAAGATAATTCACTATGATCAAGTGGGTTTTATCCCAAGACACAAGAATGGTTTGTCATACACAAATCAATAAATGTGATTCACTACATAAAGAGAAGCAAAAATAAAGACCATATAATTATAACAAAAGCAATCTTTAAGCAAAAAGAACAAATTGGGAGGCATCAATATACCAGACTTCAAGCTATACCTCATTCTCAATTCTAATCTAATCTTTGACAAAGCAGACAAAAGCATACACTGGGGAAAAGAATATTCAATAAATGGTGCTGGGAAAATTGGATAGACACATGTAGAAAACTGAAACAGGATCTGCACCTCTCACGTCTCACAAAAATCAACTCATGGTGGATAATGGACTTAAATCTAAGGCATGAAACTATAAGAATTCTGGAAGAAAATGTTGGAAAAACTCTTACAGACATTTGGCTAGGCAAAGAATTTATGAAGAATATCCCAAAGGCAATTATGGCAACAACAAAAATAAATAAATGGGACTTGATCAAATTAAAAAGCTTCTGCATAGCCAAGGAAACTATTACCACAGCAAACAGACAACTTATAGAACGGAAGAAATTATTTGCATGCCACACATTCGATAAAGATAATAGAATCTATATAGAACTCAGGAAAATCATCAAGAAAAAAATCAAACAACCCCATTAAAAAGTGGGCAAAGGATATGAACAGAACTTTTGCAAAAGAAGATAGACTAATGGTCATAAAACATGTAGTCACTATCCAGTTTGTATTAACTGATCAACACTTATGTGCACATATGGAAGTAATATGGAAGTAATATTCATTGAGTGTTGGGCAGGTGGGCAGGGGGAGGAGGGGATGGGTTTATTCACACCTAATGGGTGCGGTGTGCACCGTCTGGGTGATGGACACATTTGAAGCTCTAACTCAGGTGTGGCAATGGCAATATATATGTAACTTAAACATTTGTATTCCCATAATATGTTGATATAAAAAAATAAATTATAAAATAATGAAAATAAAAAATAGGTTTTTCAGAAAAGAAAAAAATAAAAAATTTAATAAAAATACAGTTCAGGTAAATGTTATTCAGATCTTGGATAATGTCACTTACTAATACTGAAATTTGCTATAATTTGATCTTTAATAATAATGAGATTCTTTTTATGTTAACATAGTGCTTTTTAAGTGGTATAAGATTCACGTTAAGATATTCAAATAGACCTTGAACTTGAGCCTTGTTTTTAATCTTCAGAATTTCAGAACATCCTCCATTGCTACTAACTTTAACTTCCTGAGTTTTAGTAGTTAAAGCATATGATAAAAATTAAACAGTGCTGGGAAAACTGGATAGCCACCTGTAGAAGGCTAAAACAGGACCCACACCTTTCACCTCTCACAAAAACCAACTCACGCTGGATAACAGACTTAAACCTAAGATATGAAACTATTAGAACTCTAGAGGAAAAAGTTGGAAACACTCTCCTAGACATCGGCCTGGGCAAAGAGTTTATGAAGAAGTCCCCAAAGGCAATCACAGCAGCCACAAAAATAAATAAATGGGACATGATCAAACTACAAAGCTTCTGCACAGCCAAAGAAATAGTCATGAAAGTAAACAGACAACCTACAGAATGGGAGAAAATTTTTGCATCCTATGCATCCGATAAGGGACTGATAACTAGAATATACTTAGAACTCACGAAAATTAGGAAGAAAAAATCAAATAACCCCATTAAAAAGTGGGCAAAGGACTTGAACATAAATTTTTCTAAAGAAGACAGAAGAATGGCCAACAAACATATGAAGAAATGCTCAAC